TTATATATACTAAATACACTATGTCATAATTGGGTCCCTCGTTAGCATTCATAATATAACAATCCGTTATAAGAATGGAATATTAGCTAATATCAGTTAATATTCATAAGCTTAAAGAATTGTGCTTGATAATAAGTAAACAAAAATTTCAAAATGCAAATTTCTCTTTGAATGCAGAAACTCCGATTAAAATTTACAATTCGTGATTATTGCTATTAATTAGAGAAGCCAGTCACGATGGCAAATATACAGAATAATATATATATGTGTGTCGACAGTCGAAATCTTTAGATTGGAAGATTTGACTGATCAGGCTAAATAAGATTGACACTTAGTCGTTTTCATTTAGTTAATCAGATCCCTGGACATATTACTATTACTCTACGTAGTACTAACACGTCCAATTCCAATAGACAATTTTGTAATTGTACTTATTACTTCCACTCGATTTACATTCTCATAACGTGTGAGATTTCTCCCGTGACACACTATCATAAGAGCATATTGCTAAATATTAGCAAATGTAATAAGACTAAAGGATGAGATATTACAAATGGTAAACAAACAAAGAAAATACGATTTTAACAAATCGGAAAGCTTTTCGGGACGGAAGTCTTATATACAAAGAAAGTTTGTTATACAAAGTAATAGATTACGTTAGTTGTCTCAGCGAAGATATATAAACTATGAATCCACAGTCGAATTCTTCAGATTGGAAGATTCGACTGGGCTGGCTAAATAAGATCGTCTTCCTACTTTCAATTTAGTTAATCAGATCCCTGGACATTACTACCATCTAGATACGCAGTATAACTAAGTCCAATTAACGTATACAATTCTACAATCGTAGATAATTCCACTTGATTTTTATTCTCATAAACAGTGAGAATTATTAACGTGACATAGAATAGATAGTAATTCCTTATGGTTATATTTATCAACATTTATAATTATAGAGTCCTGGATATGACACCCGCAATAAATGGACACTGTGAAAAGATAGAGATGCTATATTGAGCCATGAAGATGACTAGTGAGCAGCTTCATATAGCATTTCTCCATCTTTCAATTGAGTTCTGTCAATCATGACAGAAACGCCACAATTCTAAGTCACGGGCACTCTCTTTACACGCTTCATTCTTAATAAAGTTTCCACTTCTTATTAACCCTAATTTCGTGGTATAATCCAGCCAGCAGTCGCAGATTAGATTAACATCATCAGAAATAGCGGTAAGGGGCCGCCCGTTTTGAATCATTTCTTCCTCAGGGTACTCTTCTCCTTCTAATATAGGGAAACCATGTATTCTAAGCTTACGTTTAGCGGCATCCTCCAGTTCGGATATGATTTCGATGTTTATGCTTGCTTCAGTAGGCCAAACGCTAACGTGGTTGTTTAATCCTTGAATTTGATAATTCCAATAGTTCGCCTGGTCACCTAACATGTCAATCACCGTACTAATAATAGCCCAAGTAACGGCTGGTGTATCTATGTAAGCATCAACTTCTTTATGATTTGGCATGATATAAGTGGCATATTCCCTCTTGTAATTCGAAATGATATTGTAATCTTCAATATCCATAGTGGGAACTGGTAAGCAAAGAATGGGTGAAATTCACTGATCTATCGTTGTCCATCGCATGCAGTTATATATGTACATGGATGACTCACTAACCCTTATGACGCAAAGGCTATTTGAAACTCGGTAGCTCGGTCTTCAAAGCATATCGAATTCAAATTCGCCTGTCTGATGTTCACAACTTATAGCCCGTCAAATTTTATATTCCTGAAGCAGGTTGAGTTAATCTATTAAAAGGATTAAAAAAAAAAATGCTCAGTTACTCAATGAGAACGGTTGGTCCACAAGCTTTGGATTACTTGCTTTCAAGAAGAAAGCCCAAAATATGCCATAACGGTTTAGCTTAGTCTTCTTTTTTTTTGCTTGAAGGCGGTTTTCCACAAAATGTATAATGATTATAAAGAGATGCTTATCCCTTCGAATGAATCTATATGTATGACACCAAAGGGCTCTACTCTAAGTCTTCATACCTTCAGCGTCTCATAGACGACGGATCCTTTGATGTATAAGTATTAACTGAAAAGTTTTAGTAATTAGTAGTACCGCTAATCAACTTCCGTCAAGTGTATCTTTACTTAAACAAGTCCTTGTTGGACAATGATGAATAGGCAATGCTCACGTGAAGGAGTACCATACTACTGTACCATTTTTTTTACTATCTCAATTCTACATCATATTCAGACATTAATGAATGGTGGTACCGTTTTATTCCTTGGCGGGCTTCTATAGTCTAAAAGTAGTGTTTCGCAATGTAGACTAGAAAAGAAGGATTAAAACATTAAAGAACTCTATATTTATTTTAAAATAAAAATAATTTCAAGACTAGAATTGATCTAAGATAGGATGCCAATACCACCCCAACTACAAGCATCATGGAGATGATTCTTGGTATAGGCGTCCACAGCAAGACTAAGCTGTTGTTTTTCAGTGCAACCACTAAAATTTCCATAACGGCCATTATAGGAGTCACTGGTAATATCAGCGCATAAGTCTCTTGGTCATAATAGCACAATTCACCAAAAACTTGGCCTATCCTGGCTCCTTCTGGGTCGACATCCACAGAGCAACGAAGGTTTTTGACAGCATCGTCGCATAAAGAGGCATTAGGAGTGACCGGAAGGCCTCGAAAGTGACAGCCCAGCTACTTTCGTTTCTGGCAGGGCATCCGGGAGCATTACCTAAAGGCTGATAAGAATGCTTCGACACCTTTTTGGGATCGACAGTAGCCCATTGCTTTTGTAAATTGTCAAAATCGGCACTTTAAACACGCTCTTCGGTAGAAGTTATATTGACTAACCCATAGCCATTTACCTCCTCGGAGAACTCGCAAACAATACCTCCGCTCTAAACGTCAGTCATGTTTTTGGAGTAAATCGCCTGGAAGACTTCAGTGAAGATACGGGGGTGAATGACGTTGTAGCCAAATTCAGAAAAGAATATGGGAACAGTGATGTTTTGGAGCTCATTTGTACGAGCAGCATAACCGGAAGCATAGAAATTAGAGCCACCAAACCATTCATAGTTATTGTAACCCAAAAAGTCAGCCTCTGTAGCATTGTCCTGAGGGGTATTGGTAGTGTTACAGGTTAAGTAAGCAGTGAGTTCATTACGAATAACGGGAATATCGGCGCCTGTATAACCAACAGGAATGCTGCAATAATTTTTGGACTTGATGTAGGACTTTAAGTCACGGACAGCAGAACGGACGTAGGCAGCAGAAGCAACATTAGTAGCATTATTGACAACCTCATTACCAGCAAAACTCTACACTCATTTCTATATTTCAATAGCCGGTTTAGTAATCTCTTACAATCTTTTCTTTTTTTGAGACTTCAATTAATCCCTTTGCATGATTTAGGATTTACAGTTGGAAACTATCAGAAAGAGAAAATACATGATACAAACAAATACCTGCGTTAGCTATCTTTATGAAAAGTATGCAAATTATGACTTGACAGTCGTAACCTTCAAACTGGAAGTTTAATCTGGCTAACTTTCTGGAGATTAGTCGTATTTATATAAGTAGTAAAAGTGATTCCATTTGCAGAAAATATAGCTATAATTTTTTCCGCTTGACAAGCATTCTTATATCTATGAGCTCTATCTGATGAACACGTTTTATAATTTAACAATAATAAATTAATTATGTCGAGCTTATGCGATCACTAAAATAGGAAAAGGAAAGGAGAAGTCTCAGGCCAGTTTGAAGTTCAGCTAATTACACTTTATACTAGCTAAATCAAACTAGCTTCCCTTCTATATGTTCTATCGGAAAGAAGTGGTTCTTTTTTGTCAACCTCACATTCATACTAACATGAGGATAGTTTTGTTTATAAGACCAAAAAAAGCTTGTTTTTGTTACTGAGCATGTTCAATCAGTTTCACAATTAATCATTTCGCTTATTCTAGGCGGCCAGCAAAAAGTTGCTTCGGGAAGTGAAGGTATTTTCAAAGAAAGTTGTGAGTCTTGTGTCCATTCTTGGTGTTTCAACAAATTTTATATTTTTTTTGTTTTTTTATCTTTTATTTATTAAGGTATAGCTTGTATAGCTCCATTCAAAAATCTGCATATTGTCGGTAGATCCTTAGAGATCTGAGCATAAACCTTATTAAGAGAAATCATAATAATTAGCTCGTGTCCGGAATGTCAATGATATGCGATTTCCCTAATTAAAGATGTCATCCTGCAAAACACGACTCCGAGGGATATCGCAAGTTGAAGTCAGATGTAACTTTACTTGCCAATCCTATTGGCATTTCAATAGCTATAAAAAATAGTTTATTAATGTTGTAATTGTATCCGATTAATATCGGAAAAAAAAGTAGAATGAATAAATGAATCAGAGGATTTTATTAAGGTAGAAATGAATGGAAAAGCTTAAAAGAAGAGATGAAACATAATTGCTCACTCAAGCTTAACTTGAGTAGTTTGTTGGTTTGACATAAAAGCAGATTCCAATGCTTTCTTTTTTTTTGTTACATAACTCGAGCAGTGGTTATTTCCAAAAGGTTAGTTTATGCTTAAAGGACAAAAGTTCCCCCTTTGTATTTTTTAGTAGTACTTAAATCTCAAAAATATCAAATAATTGGAAATGAATCAACTCCCACACAATATCCGTGTGAATCGTCTAGCTATTGTAGTTATTCCAAAATCTTAATTTGATAGTCGCCAAATTCTTGGATAAATGATGCTAGATAGGTTTTTGATTAAAAAAGACTTCTGTTCCGTATATTCATCATCTTTAACTCTTTTTAGTCTTTTATCTCTTACTTCTTCATCTAGGAAAGGTGTACGCATATAATAAAAATTCGCGACCGTACCTTTTGTCCGTTACATTTAGCGACCGGAAAATAATCTAATCTACCTTAAAATTGTGATATCTCTGGTCTTTTTTTTTAATTTTTATAGATATGCAATTTTGTCTTCAATATAACTTGCAATTTTGATATATGGATGTACTTTTGCCCGTGATGATCTGTTTTCAAAAGGTGATTAATGTCAGGTCAAAATTCATTTCTATCTAGAGTTTTGACTTGATCAACGTGATGTATACACTATGAAATAGATGCATGTGTGTCATTATTTGCTGCACACTTAGGCGAAAACACCAAGAAATATCTCTGCGAAGCTACCAAAATATATATATATATATAAAAAAAACAAAACAAAACAAAACAACTGAAATCTCAAAATTTCAAAATAAATAAAGTTAAAAAACGAAGCAAGTTACTCAAAAACAAACACAAGGAAGAATGGAATGCGATGAAGAAGTAGCAAAACGCGATTAGAAAAAAAGCTATACTCTGCTGAAAGTGAAAAAAAGAAAAGCGCAATATGTAAGAAAATCAAATCCTAACACTTTCAACTCATTATAATCGCTTTGGTTTTTGGGTAAAGAATAAATCACACAATAACGACGAAAACCAACCTAAAGCTACAACGATAATTCATGCACGATTCCAGCAAAATACCCACTTGTTTAAATTCAAAACGAAGCCATAGCAGCTTTCAAGCGCGCCATTGCATTTAAGGGCATCAGTTATGCAAAGTAAAATATAAGTAGTCCATGCAAAGATATGGAAAAATAAGAAAATCAAAAGTATTAAAGAGGAAAGGAACTAGTACAAAAAAAGCGAAAAAAGGAGGAATGGGAAATAATTTCCAAGAACAGAATCACCATTTTTCCAACAATAATTAATATCGATAGGAGACAGAGGAGAGGTAAGACGGACAAGGTGTCTAAAAAATTAAAGAGCCGAAGGAATTAACTACTTTCTGAAATTAGTGGTGCTTTCAACATCCCTAGGTGACTCGGTTTTTGTTGTCTTGCATACTGTTCGAAACATTCAGAAGATGGTTCCTCATCTCTGAGGCTATTAGATCATTTGACTCGTCTATATTTTCAGGAGGTATTGCATGAAGTGGGAGTTGATTTCCTTCCGTCGACTCGGTTCCTTCAAATGTCAATTCATAGCCTATAATATAGGCAACCCAACCCGACAGAAATTCCATCAGTAAAAAGAAGGAATCCAATAAAACTATTCATTATTAATTAGCAAAGCTTTCAACAAGTATCATCCGTCTACTGACATACCTGAAACCAAGTTTAGAGAGAACCAAAAGGCCAAGACGATAAGAATAGCTGCTACACCGTACTGAGCCTTTTTGGAAGTATCTTTCAGCATATTATTCTTTAAATAATTAAGAACGTAATATGAAAATGAAAAATCAAGTATCAGTGGGAATAAAAAGCACCAAAAAACTCGAAGTCCTTCATTTATCGTTTTTTTTGCAGCGGGTGGAATTCTCGCGAATGCCGCTGGACTAGAAATATACAAGAATCCGCTCTTAACTTTATCACAGAACGCATCCCAGTAGTCTAAACATTTTGCAGCAGAAGCGTCAATTGACAATTCGTCGCTCTTGTTTTCAGGAACGAGATTTGGATGTAAACATAAACAACCTTTTTCCAAATCATCCAAATGTGAATAAGGGAGCTCGCTGTACTGCGGTAAATAAGTATCAGAACTCGCAGAAGAAACTCGACAGGAAGATTCGGCTGCTTTGGCTAACTCTAGCAGCTTTTCATTCATCCTTAAAGAAAAAGAGAAAAACAAACCATCAATTTCTCTCTACAAAAATCAGAGGTCAGCCGTGAAAACTATCGAATCTTGATAGAAAAAGACCAAAAAGCGCAAGAAAAGCCAAAGTAAAAGCCTTCTTTTGTTCCCCCTATAAAAATAAATAAAATCCTTTCATTTTAGCTCCGAGAGATGAAAAATACATCCGCAATGGCAATGGCACAAGGGCTAAAGTTTTGTTGAGGTGAAGTTATCATCAAACCAAATAAGCTTTCTTTTCCTTTCGTTATTTCATTTACCACTTATTCCTCGGTATCGGTATACATATGTTACTTTAACCATTTAAGTAGCAAATTCTTTCTGAAGAGAACGTTACTCAGAATGCATTCTAGGAAAAACCATCTTTCAAATAACCAGTGGTGAACTGCATTCATCAAACATAAATGCATCATCTTTTGAAGCTCAGTGTCTACGGCCACACCTAGGCGAAAACACCAGTTCCCGTCCGATCACTGCAGTTAAGCGTCTGAGGGCCTCGTTAGTACTATGGTTGGAGACAACATGGGAATCCGGGGTGCTGTAGGCTCACTCATAAAATTTTTGAGTGAGCCTGTCTTCGTTTGGTAGTATTTTATTTTTCTTTTGTAGAACGGCAGTGGATTCCTATTCATCATCATGATTAAGCTTCACATGCATTGCTATTGCCCATTGAAACAAACGCTGTTACTTACTACAAATGAAAACAATCTATCAAACAGTATACAACTATTCACTATTAAAATAAGTCAAAAAAAGAATAAGATTAAGAATAAAGATGAAATAAATATAGGGGATTCTTTAAGCAAATAAAGAAATAACTTTGAAAAAGAAAGAAGGTAAAAAATATCTACGACAGATAAAAACTCTTTATTCCTTCCTAGCTTCTCGAATATGACAACAGATTACTGCAAAACGAAAACAAACCAATTGAAATAAAATAAAATAAAGTAGATTTTTTCAAATAGAAGAAAAGGTATATCAAGAAGGTAGACTGATTAAAATCAGAATTGAAGCATTTTTGCCAGAAGGAATGTGGCACTGTTAAAAGTAACAGGATTACTCAACGAAAGCGCTTTGGTGAAACACGAACTGCATGGAAGAAGGAATACCACTAGCTCCAAGAAAGCCCCTTCAAAGGAGTTTAATGAGCAACAAAAGAAGAACCAGCGCCACTGGAATCAGGAACCGACGAAGAATTAGTAGCGTTATTGGTAACAGAAACCACTAAAGAAGTTGTAATAGGAGCTCTCATACCAAAAGCGGAAGTAGGAATTGCTGCTGTACCGTTATTCCTTTTGTGGATAGTAGCAAAAGTGCTACTAGCATTACCTTTATCAATGTAAGGATAAGAAGAAGAAATGTCCAACAGAGCCATAAAAAGAGCAATAATTATAAAAACACGCATCTTTGCTACAAATAAGAGATTTTAAAATGGTCGAGTGGAATTGAATGTGTCGTCCCAAAAGAAAGAAAGACCAAACAAAGGGTATCAAAACGGGTATAAGAAAGATTCTATTGAGCCGCAATTGTATTTGACTGATGGATAATCAAGCTGCTCCAATCTTTATATAAAAAATATATTCTAATCAATTGATGTAATTTCAGCCCATACGCTTAAGTTTAATGTCTAATAATTCGTGAAAAAAAAAGGCTGGAAGATAAGTAGAATTGCCAAAGAAATCGTGCGAGATCGTGCAAATTTGCGATATTCTTTTGGGTCAGACATGGCACTTGATCAGAGTTTGCTTTTACGTATATGACCCCTATCTATGAAATAATACTAATGAACTTTAGATATAATTCAGGGTGGAGTGCGATGTGGGGTGACTGTACCGCCAAGCTGATATTCAATCCGAGTTTCATGTACAAAAAATATTGTTGACAGGATTTCCAGTGTAGCTATACTTGATTTAGACTAGTGCAGTTATTTTTAAGGAATAAGTTGATTAGCTCGACCAGTAAAATTTTGCTTCTTCCTAACAGAAAGTTTTTCCTGGAAACAAAAAACAATGTTCTTATTTTAGCTGTTTTATTCTGAATAAATAAAATGAGTACTTATTACTTTTGTAAACGTTGTTGTATTGGTATTATTCTTCCCTTATATGCATATAATACATTGAGCTTCGACTACAAGGTAAAGGGGTCGTACCGTACTCGTACTGTAAGTAAATAATATACTTTGTTTTGTTATTCATTTTGTCGAACAGTTGCTTATTGAGTCTTCCTCTGATCAAGTGGTTGTAGATTTTAACCTATGGATGTCAAAAATCATTCCTTTAGTACATTACATCACAGCATTATGAGCAATAAAAATGAATCAATACCGATTACGTGAATGTTTTAAAAAGAAGAAACTATCTTTCTCGAGATGTTGGCGGCTAGTCCTACATGGCCTTCGGCTAAATAGATTGAATGAGGCACAAAGAGATGAACTCGCGAGATTAATCGCAGAACGAGGCGTTGTATATTTTCCGGGTCAAAAGGAAATGACAAATGATGAATTTCAGCAACTCGGTCGATATTATGGTAAAACACACGTTCACGGAGCAAATGCTCGACCTAACGATCCTTCCAAATCTGATTTCCATGTTGTTTACTCGGATCGATATACAGCCTTTGACATTGAAGATAACCGTACTGATTTGGAGAGATTCCATTCGGACGTAAGTTATGAAAAGCAACCCCTTGCTACAACGTTCTTTCGAGGATTGACAGTACCCAAATATGGCGGAGATACTGTAATCGTTTCTGGATACGTAGCTTATTGATTACTTGAAAAATAAAAGTTTGCAAAGAATACTGTAGAATATCTATACAGATATAAATATTACTGTAATGCAACAAACTTCCATCATATACTTTTTATTTATTAACGATTTCATTAAAACAACAGACCAAAAAAATGTAGCAATTGAACATCAAAGGAAATTTAAATCATAAAATTCTGTTTTATTTTATTTTATTTTAAATGCAACTATTTACAAACCATCTATACCAATTCGACGTAATTCTTAATCAGCAAAACAACCACTTAGCCTGCTGAACATAGAAATCTTCAAGCTGAGGCAAACGGCTTACCCACAGTAAGCCCGAGATTTACCTACTGTCTTCTATTTCTCTCATTGACCACATAACCCTGCCACTCTGAGCTCCTTAAATTGACGTTCAGAATTGGAAAAAGAAAACACAACTCTGAAAACATCCTCCTTTGTATAACGATGGAAACATAGTCGAAAACATTATGTTCCGGATCAGGGAACCAAAGTAACAAACACATAATTTTTTGGAACTGGTTTGTAGTATTGACTATATTCATATTCCTGTTCCGCTTTTTTTGTTTTATTGAGCTAATAATGATTATGCAGTATAAGAATCCAAAAAAACTCGTTATAACTAATACAATTATTACGACGGCAGGTTGCATTATCTATTTTCTTTTCCTTTTCTCATTAAATCAAAAGCTTCACGTTGTATATGACGGTAATGATATTCCTGAGATGAATCTTGGTCAATAATCCATACTTAACGTTAATTTCATTATACTATCACCTCAGCTTAATTCCATGATCGAATAAAAATACATGTAAAATTAAGGACAAGGATTAAACGAAAGCTAAGAAAGAACCAACCATCGTTTACTCAGAATTTTATTGTCGAGATTAGCAAAAAAACATTGTTAACATGCAGGGAAAAAACTTGAAGTAAATTGGATTATTTCAAAGTCCATATTCATTTACATGTCAAATTGTTTGCAAACTTTTTCAATATTGTTCATAATTATTCAACTGATTTTTTACACAAGTACTCGACTCTCATTCAAATGCCTAGTTTCCAGATTCAATCAAATGCATTCGTTCGGCAGGTAACGATTTAATTTTGATATTGATATTTTCCTTTGCCATTAGCGAGCGCCTCACGACTCTTCTGTCGGAGTCTCAACTGGATGCGTCCTAATAATACATACACTAATGAAGAAGACAGAAAGATTCAGAATTACCCATAAAACAGTGGCTGATTTGGTAACATTTTTCTTCTTGTGTGTATAGAAAAGCAAAAGATACTCTAGCCCAGCTATCCCATTTAATATTGGAAAATAAGGACTCTAGACTTTTCCAACTGCTATTTATTTGTAGAACAGCCTCCTGATATGAAACATAACGTGAAATTGTTATGTTCATGCTGGGAGTTTCAAAGTTTGGAAAGCGATATTAGATTATATTTGATAAAATAAAGCATCGTATCTTTATGGTACGCCCTCTTCGTCGGCTACGAAAGACGGCTGCATTTTAAGCGTCTTTTTACGTCTGTAACAGCAAAAGCAAAACAAAAATTACGTTACAATGAGAATGAACCTGTTTTCAGATTCTTTATTTGTGAAACTTATACCTGAAACGTCTTCGATTCAGCAACGATGAGCAGAGAACAAAATTCTCACTCCCTTTTATTACTTCCTTCTAGAATTAATATTGAACAAACCAACAAATCTTAACGATAATTATCGTTTTTTCTTTCCAAACATATTTCACGCTCATCGTATTATTCCTTCTCAATCAAATTGTGTTTGTAAAAGCTTTGTTTATCGAATAAAGACCTCATGTTAATAATAGATTGTTTAAGCCTGCATTTCTATTGCTGAACCTGTTACATGATCCTCTCGCTCTACCATGTTTATATTATTTTTATTCAGTCTTTTATTGAAACAAATATTAAGCGGTTCATTGCCTGACAATAGGACTTAAAATTAGTAGTAAGAAATTGCAAAATTGAAATTGAAATAATTCAACATTTTACGTTTAATAGTTTCATAAGTGTCGTTAACATTTAATGTTTAGACGTTGCTGTACGGAATCTCGCTGATTTCCTCAGATTATCAGCTTAATTGTTCGATAGAGTTCCACTATACCTAACTATCTTTCGTTTTTAGAACGAGAAGAGAAGACACATCCAGTGTACTCGCCATCCATCCGTTCTCCCAATGACGACCGAACGCACAAACATTTGTCCTTGGTAAAATCTTTCATACAATCATGAAAGTATACTGGAGGTTATGTTGTGAAGTTCTTCTTTAACAAAGCAGCAGCACTTCTACGTTTACACCGAAGCAAAGTTCCTGAAAGAGCACTTGTAATTGTTGAAACAAACTTTGATATAGTTGAATCAAATCATTCAGCGAAAACTGCATAATGCCTTGCTGCTTTCTACCATAAGGAAAGATAGAGCCCTCAGGACTGTACGATATCAAAGTTGGGCTCAAACCGACGGGTTGAATGACTTGTTATTCTACCGCCATCATTCGGTGGACAAGTTTATTTGCTTTACAAATATTTTCATAAAAATTATGTCTTCCTAAAGTTATAAAACGAAACACGTGGGTATATAAAATCGTACCTGCTTTATGAAAGTCTATGATAGAAGACTCGCTAGTTTTCCTTCTTTCAATCAAGAGTTGTAATCCGTACACTGCAACTAGGCGACATGATTTAGTCAATCCAACAACATACGGTGAAATCAAGGAAGCACACTTCGGCTTTCCATCCTTATTCGTCGACTTAGTTGCCATGAATTTGTTAATTTCTATGTCTCGCAAGTCCTCATCAAACTCGTACTGCCGTGAAATTACCTTCCTTGAGATATTATGCAACTCTAGGTATGCCATTTCTTTATGAAATCCTATCTTCATTATCGCTTCATCTTCATCCGATTCGTCAACTCCATCAATAGTATTCGTCTCGTTAATGGCAACGGCTATATCTACCTTTACACATACATTATCAAAATGGCGCTGAAGGTCTTGACTGTTTGGTCCCGAATATTTCATCAGAAACAATAGATATTCAGAAGTCTTCTCCGCACAATCATTAACAATATCTTTTATTTGTTCTGGAGTGCTTTCTCCATGTAGCTCAGTGCCGTAGCTTTCATCACCACGAATAGCTGCTTGGTACGAAAACCCATATTTTCCAGATACTGGAATCCCTGAAAGTAGTAATGATTCAACTCTCTCACAACTATATCCCAGTCAGTCAAGTCACCTGTACCGGAACTCATTATATTGCGATTGTAATTGAATTCCTTGGCTAATGTCGTCCACTTCAGTTGCTGGATCAAAAGATCTGGAGCATGTGTATTCTCCGTGTGTCCTATAGAAGAATCAATTTTCGTCATTGAGAGTTTTTCTCCATCTCTTTCAGCGATGGGAATATAGTCCACTTTAAGATAGTGATCACCGATGCTTTCTTTCTTCAACTGTTGAAGCGGAACACGACGTATGCATTCTTCAAGGTACCTAGTTCCATGATTATGTCGTATATGATGACGAAAACTATCAAAGTTTCCATGGACATAGCCACTTGCATTACGAGCACACAAAACACACTCGTAT